GAAAGCAGTTAGACTGTTAGGATATTCACATATAAACATATTTAAAGTACTTGTGAGGTTGTATTCCTTGCTGTTCAGATGAAGAAATAAGCATTTCTCCCAAGGAAGGGCTTCCTCAGAGAGTAATTAAAGAATGAATTGTAGAGTATAACCTTTGAAATGGTTTAATCCATGAATAGTAGAATAAAATAGAATCAATATTTTTGTCCGTCCTCTTTCATGATGCATGTTGGATTTCTAACCTAGAGAGCAAAACATTTAATACAATGACTCCTGCTGCTTCTTTACACAGTGTATGATCAGTTTAAAGAATTCACTCTTCCAGAGCATTCTTACATAACTGCATTCTAAAATAAGTTAGTAAATTTTATGACTGCTAATACCAATTAGTTCCTTTGCCAAAATCTTAAGTAAGGGAAAATTAATACTGAGAATAAAACAGTGACTCAGAAACTTTAGGTAGTCAACAACAAGAGTAGTTACCAGGTCTCTGTTCAATATGAATCGTTGGTTCATTGGTTAGTTGGTGGTCAAGGCTTGTTTTTTATGGGGTAGGGTTTTGTTTTTGTTTTGCAGTGCTGGGGATGGAACCCAGGGCCTTGTGCATGCTAGGCAAGTGCTTTACCACTGAGCTGCATCCCCAGCCCTGAGGTGGAGATCTTGATACCGGAAAAACTAACTATAGGTCCTCCAGATATTTCTGTGTTAGTAACTACTAATATAATTTTTCATTTTCTTTCTGTTTTTATTTTTCTTTCTGCTGAAAAAATTTATTCTGGGAACTGTTAAATGCCTTAATATAGTTTTTTCTCTCATGAAGTTAGTATAATTTAGGATCCTTTATCTAAAATTTACTTAGTCTTTCTTTTTGTATTGCAAATTCCATTTTTGATACAGAATTAAGGATGAAGCATGGGATTATCATTAATGGATTACTGATATATTTTATCACATTCTTAATTTGTTTCTTAAAATACCAGCTTTTAACTACCTCATTATTTATACAGAGCAAGGTACTGAAACAAATAGCAAATTATGCCTATCTTGTTAACTACAGCTGGTGACATTCTATTGCAGACGTTGTGGGGGCAATGGCATGCTTTCATGAATAAATTGAATTTAAAACACAAGTTCTTCATGTTTTTTAAAAATATTTATTTAGTTGTAGATGAACACACAGTATCTTTATTTTTACGTGGTGCTGAGGATCGAAACCAGTGCTTCACACATGCGAGGCAAGCACTTTACCACTGAGCTACAGCTTCAGCCCCTCTTCATGGTGTTTTGTCATATATTTTTCTTGTTTGTCCACACCTATGTTGTGTATGTCATCTCTGGGTGGTGGTGGAACAAGTAATAAAGCTTGGCATGTGATCACCTCCTGCCTTTCTATTAAATATCCATGAAGATATTTAAAAAGAAAAACAGGAGCTCATAACAGTTCTGTAAATAAAACAAAAATCCATCAAAGATTATTGGTAAAGAGAATTGATTTCATTAGCAGGAATGGTTTAACAAGCATAGTCTTGAATGTCATGCTATTTATTCACCTTTGTGAACCCAAGTTGGTCAAAATATCCAAAGGGAGTAGGAAAAGACTTGGATCCATGCCCATAGAGGGTAGATAGCAAGGAGCTGGAATTCTCAGTGCCTCACTATGCCACATTAGCATCTATATTTCCAGATCATTTCAGAGACTAAAATGCCCCCAGATACAGTAAAACAAGAAGTAGAGAAGGAGTAGAAGAGGCATGTAGCATCCACAGAGAAGTGTGGGAGCAGGCTGTGCTAGGAAATGTGCTCTCTAGATCCCACACAGGAAACAGCAAGTGGCATGTGCTCCTCCAACTTTTTATTCATAGGACGGTGCCCAGGCAGTCCAGCCTCAGACTAGCCAAACTCAATAAGAATATTTGCTAGGAGTCCAGGTTTTGAAATCAGGCTCAGGCTACATCAATCTGTATTTGAAATTCAGATGGCTGAAGAATCCAAGTTCTCTTTTTGCTGCCAGATATCTACCAATCCTGGTGGCTCTTTTTTTCATCCTTAGTAATGATGAGGCCAAAAAAAATGGAGGGGAGGCCCTGTGAAGAGACATGGCAAAGAAGACATTGCCCTGTAGTGGCAGCACCTAGATCTGAAGATGTTTTTGTTTTTTTTTTTTTCTTTGTAAGAAGCAGATGAGGTTGAGACATCTGCTTAGTTTCCTGAAAGAGCACCATGAAGATATGACCTCTACAGATGGAACAAACTGAAACAAGGCAAAAATTGCAGAAGTTGGCTGCTGAGATAAGGAAAGAAGATCAAGAAACCTAAAATGGAGCCAATAAAGAACAAAATTGGTGTAGCACTTTGAGTAATTCACTCATTAACTGTTCATTCATTAAATATTGAACAACATAACTACTCTGTGCCTGCTGTTCTAGGCACAAATGATGTAGTCATGAACAAAGCATATCGAACAATTACAAAAGATCCACCTAAAAGTTCTGAAGTTTACCCTGGCGTAGTGGTGTATGCCTGTCATCTCAGCGGCTTGGGAGGCTGAGGCAGGAACAGCCTCAGCAACTTAGTGAGACCTTGTCTCAAAAATAAAATGTGAAAAAGGCTGGGGATGTGGCTCAGTGATTAAGCAACCCTGAGGTTTATAGTGAAAAATAATAGAAAAATCGGAGCAGAAACATTTAAGTTCGTTAGAAGAAAACTATTCTAATTTCATTGATCTTGAGATAATATTAGTTCAAAAAATACAAACATTCCCCTCTAGATATATTCCGATAATTTCAAATTTTTATTTCAAGGAAAATGAGAAGTTCTAAAAGTAATAAGGCAGAGAATAAAAATAAGTTATCTACATTAGAACAAAAGCCAAATTGGCCACAGACAACTTTTCTATAGCACTAAATACTGGAGACCATCAGGACATTGTTCCCCATTTAGAGCCTCATGTGCTATTACTATAATTTCTTTATGTTTGAAAATGGCAGTCCTTCTTTTCAAACCGTTAATTTTCTTCCTCTTGGAAAAGTATATATTATATGGATTTTGTTGCAAGTCACTCCACTCCTATTAGCCTTTAAGTTGCTTTAATAAGCATATATAGATTTTTCCCTGTCAGCGATGTGAATGGTTCCTTCCAGGGCTTTGCAGTACACACAAGTTTACAGGGACTCTTAAAGAATGTAAGACTTCCCCTTCCTTCTGCGAACTTGCCATGCATGTGTGAGGATGTTCAGGAAAATACGATACTTCCTCAGAAAGCCATTCAGCAATCCACTCTGGCTGAGTAAAAAATTAATGCAAATATTTCACTCAATAATGAATATTTCACAAAAATTTGTGAAAACTGTAGGAGAAAAAGGCTGTTGGTAAACAGTGAAGCCAATTCAATATGTAAATAAATATAGATGAACTTAATCACTCTCGTGTGTGTAATTTTAAATTAGATTTGACAGCCAATACCTAATCTCAAAAATAAATTCATTTAACAAAGCAACGTAAGATCAGGATTTGTAACTTCAGGTTAATTCAGGAGTTTAAGGTTCCAATAATATCAACTGGTTCTGGCATAAGAATAGTAGGCTACACAGGACTAAACTGGAGATGACTAAGAAAGCTCTGAAAGCAAATCTAGAATATGTGAGAATATAAAATATAAGAAAGAACTAAAAATCCATACTGAAGGGGATTGGGACAATTGATTCTATATTTAGAAATGATATTAAATCTAGATTCCCTCATTATGTCGTATTAAAATAAATTACAAATAGATACAGATTTAAGGAAAGACATTAAATTATTAAAATACCAAGGCGCATAAATATGGATAAATATCAGCCACACTTAAGTTAAATAAGGAGTTTGGGAATAAGAGTAGTGAACCTAGTTACAAAGGCCTCTATTAATAAATTTGATTATATAATAACAAGATATATTCAGCAACAACAAAAACCCTAAATAGTTTGATAATCACGTCAACCTGGGGAAATTTTGGTAACAATTTTTCATCCTTGAATCAGCTAGGAAAAACAATTTACCCTAGTAGACCTCAGTGCACTAACCAGGTGATAAAAAAAAAAAAAACTTCTCTAATCTCAATAAATTCCAGAGATTCTTTAAATAATTATATGTCATTTGGCATTGGTTGTAGCCTGGATATTCTCATACACTGCTGAAGGGAACTGTGAAATGATACAGTTTTCAGTGTCAGTTTGGCAATATGTATTAGGACCCTTTAACATTATTTATATATTAGTTGTCAATGGATCTTTATTTTAGCTTATTTATATGCTGTGCTGAGAATCGAACCCAGTGTCTCATGCCTGCTAGGCAAGTGTTCTACCACTGGGCTACAATCCCAGCCCAGGACCCTTTAACATTATTGATATATATAATTGAACCAGTTGTCTTGCTACAGAATGTACCTTATGGAAATAAAGATGCAGGTATTGAAGTTATTCATTGATAGACTGGTTAAATAATCATCCATTAAAAATGGTGGTTTTAAAAATAATGACAGGTCAAAATGTTGCTTATACAGTATCAAGTGAAATAAAGGCAACATACAACAAGATGTACTACATTACTATTCCAATTTGAGAAAAATTTAATTGAAGAAAATATGCCAAAATGTAGCAAGGGTTATATGAATATTTTTGATGTCTCCTTTATACTATTTTTATTCCTTTTATATCCTGCCACTTTTGAGTAGCCTGAAGACATCAACACTTCTAGTTTATGATTCATGCATATTCCATTGCCATCTCAACTGTTTGTGCCTTTTCCTCTTCCCCTTCTCCTTCATCTTCCTTGACCGTGTCTACAGTGTGGTAAGAAATTGAGTTTTGGAACCAAGAAATGGAGGGCTGTGAAGGAGGAGGATCTGGTTTCTTTCTTTCTGGGTTCTTGCTACTCTGTCCCAGAATATACCCCCAGGTAATTGGTTCCCCACTTGGAAAACCATTGAAGAATAACTTTCCTTCTGCCTTTTTCCTTTGCAGGAAACACATGAAATTGTGGCAATCAAGAAATTCAAGGACAGTGAAGGTATATATGTATTTTTTTTCCTTCTTTATTAAGATTTTGTAAAGGAATTGTGGAAAGATGGGGCTTAGCTGGTTGGACCCTATCTTTTCCAAAGATTTTAAAGACATCATCTCAGAAAGTGAATATAGCTTATTTATTATCATGCTTTGGGTTGAAAAATTTAGTTCCTTTCATATGAATCTTTTCATGTATCCTGATAGTAGAACATTTATCTTGTGTTTTACAGTACAATCAACATTGGAAATCTTGCTTCAAAGACTGTATAGAAGTCATCTACACTGTTTTCAAATATAATTAAAATGAAAAGGCTGATTTAAAGTAAATTCTTCTCCGAGTCACACAAATAGCTAGTGTTTTGTGAAAGGTTTCTGTACTGGTTACTGTGCTCTCCAGCTCCTAGTCAGAGTTAGAAATACAAGAATAATGAGAGACAATATCAAGGGGTGATTTTATATTTAGAATCACTCATTTGAAGAATAAAAGCTTTTTGAGAAGAAATAGCATACTTTGAAGGTCTTCATCACACATCTAGACCATTTCAAATAGAATATTGAAATTACTCTATGCTAGGAAAGAAAGTTTAAAATATAGCATTTAGTAATTCATCTGGTTTTTAATCTCTACTGTTGGCCAAAGATAGCCAGCTGATCATGAAAATCTACATGGCCTTTAAGGAGTTGTAGGGAGTGTTTCTTCACATTTTTTTAGACAGAGAACTCCAGTAGAAATACATTTGTATCCTAACCCCACATACTGTACTAGATGTAACTAAAACAAAAGTATCACAAACTACTTTGTTGTACTAATGTAAGGTATTCCATTTTCTGTTCTCTCCTGTTCATATAAACTCACATAAATGCCTATCTATTGTAGCATCAGATAAATTGATTCTACTACTAATGAGCCACAGCTTGTCATTTGAAAAACAATGACCTAGGGGTAAGAGGAACCAGCATAGCATCAACCTTTGTATCTAATCAGAAGTATGAAGATTGCCATCACAGCCTGCCCTCATCAGATCCCATTTACTAAGCTCTGTAAGATACCAACTTCTACATTTATGAATAGCTTTTCCTTACCCTCACCCTCACCCTCAGAGACTCGGCAAACATGAGACAACTGAAAGGGCTTGCTAACAAAAATGTTCCAGGATAGATTCAGTACTGTTTGATGTAATCGAACTCTGATGTTCTGGTTATGTGGAGCACATGCATATCAGCTGGGAACTTTAGCAGCCATTGTGAGGGCAGCCTTAAAGGAAGGCAGTGGAAAAATGCTTTTAGCTTTTTCTGGGCTGGGACAGGTGCAGGGGGTGGGGGTGCAGAGGGCATGCTTCAAAGGGTGTGCTGTGGTCTAAAGGAAGCAGTAGCCCTGGGTCAACCCACCGTGAGACCATTGGAAATGAGCTCTTTGAGCAGTGACTTTGGACTAACGACAGGTGGCCCAGAGACAAACGATGATCTCCTAAAAAGAGTGGTTGCATCAGTAGATGAAAGCACAACTTTCGTATGCGTGTAGAGGCTTCTGGCTGTGCATTCATCTTACAGGGCACATCGGCAAGCATCAGATATCACCAAAAATAATAATTGTCATTGGGTTTTTAAAAAGGAGTGCAATCTAGGCCATTTATACCATTGCTTTTTTTTTTAAACTAAATACCATATTTTTTTTTTACAATCTCTATCCTGTGGCATACCAGTGATTTGCTATAATTATGATATATGTTTTTGTTCTGTTGAGTTATACATGACATATTTATATAAATGTGGAGTGTATCTTATTCTAATTAAGATCCCAGTCTTGTGGATATACACAATGGTGAGATTCACTGTGGTGTATTCATATATGTACATAGGAAACATGTCAGATTCATTCCACTGTCTTTTCTCTATTCCCATCCCCTCTCCCTTCCCTTCATTCCCCTTTGTCTAATCCACTGAATTTCTATTCTTCCCCTCTCCGTCATATTATATATTTTTACCTGTTATGATACCTTCAGTGGTGTATCTGCAGTAATTCATAACACACTGAGCCAGGTACTGTAAGGGCAATAAAGATAACACATGTGAAGCTTATAACCTATTGGTAAAATTAAGACCTGTAAATAAATAATCGTAAAACATAATGAAAAACAATGCCTGAGACATGATTCATTTTGATGTAAGAGAGATTGTGTCTAGCTGTGGCATCCAAAGGTATGAGTATAGTCTAGACACGGAAAAATTTTGATCTGTCCTTATTTCTCTGAGTCCACAAGTCATTAATTTGCTGTGCCCTCATCTCTGCTAGACCATTATTAATCACCCCTCACTGGCATGGAGCCTTATCACCTATCCCAGTTTGTTAATGTACACCTACATGTACTTTTAGAGAGATACTTCCGAAGCATTTCTTTGATAGAATTTGAAGACGTATCCAATTATTAATAAACTTTTTAGTTCCATCCTGTTATAGGCCCACTTTCCTACTGTTTCCAGTTCTCCCTGGGACATCTACTACTGTTGTCTGTGTCTTTTATCTTTTTCCTCCTGTCAGAGTAATGTCTTACTTAATGGAATGAAAGAGTACATGTATGGTGAACAACCCTTTTGGAGTGTGGAATGAACATAAATAGTTTCATACAGGTGAGGCTGTCCAACTACTGTGTAAACCATTTAATCTGAATCAGTTTATTATCTTAAATTTCAGTTAAGCCTGTTATAATAAAAGGTATGGTGTCATAATAATATTGTCATGTAGCTCTTATTCATCTTTTTTATTAGTTACTCTGAAAGTATCCTTTTGATATTGCAATGGTGATTATTCTAAGTTAATGTTTAAAAATCTTTGTAAAGATGATGGTATAATTCCATAAAAACAACATTAAACTGAAGCAGGATCTGTAATTGGTCTGACTGACATTCAATCTAATGAAGTATTCTCAAATTGATATCAAGGGATATTTTGTGAGAGTAGATATTACCTTCTGGTAGATTTTAAAGATTCTGATAATATCTTTAAATATTCTTAAATCCATATGTTGTCACAAATTTGTGGAAAACATTTTCAGGGCTACAATGTTAAGGTAGACCACTATTTAGTTCAAGAGGTCCCTATTATTCCAGGATATCAATTACTATTTAAAATGGGGGAAAATTCATAGTAAATAAAATGTTATATTGGAACTCTCAGTTGAAAAATTCTAACTAAAATTATGAATGAATATAAGTATTTTATACTTAATATAATTGAAGTTATAATAGCAACTATACTGTAAAATTGTAGACTAGGCTAATGAATGACTTCCACAATAAAAAGAGGGTCATTAAAAGAATATTCAAAAAAATATTTAAAAAGCTTTGTCAGTTTTCTCTTCATTTTTTGTATTGCTGTCTTTCTGTCGTCATCTTTTTCAGGTTTTTATTCTCTAGCTGTTAGCTGGTATAACTCTATCAGATCATTTTTTTCTCAGTGTCTTTTTCTGTAATTCTCCCTTGAAAGACTTTGATACCTTGGGGTGAGAACAGAAACTCTTATTAAAAGGAAGGAATGTGGACTGGGATTGGAGCTCAGCGATAGAGCCTGTGCTTAGCATGCTTGAGGCTCTGGGTTCAATCCTGAGCACTCCCCCCAAAAAGGAGGAGACGGTGTGGGAGGAGGATGTTTGAGGGCAAATTTTAATCTGAGAACACTTCGTTAGTTAGGTTTTTCTTATTTCAATGACTTCTGCCTCTTGACATGTCATCATAAATTGGAAGTGTCAGTGAATTCTTAGCAGTACTTAAATGATGGTATTATAAATTTGTCAATTAAGTTTCCACAGAGAAACATTCTGGTGAATACCAAACCAACCATAAGTCTTCATCAAATTATTTGCTCATTATTTGGATTTTCTGAGAAGATCAAAAAATGACCACAGACTATAAAGATAATAGATACTATTTAGGTAAAAGGTACTTTTCAGACTATGTATAATTATAAATTTAGCCTAATTACCCTACTTTTCCTGTAATTCCAGTCTTATGTGATGAGATGTGATGTTCACATGATAATATTCTGTCACTGTTGGTTCATCATTCTCACCCATTGGCATGTATAAAAGCCTTGTGCCCCAAATTTATTAAATGATTTAAGAGCACTGATTTAGATTAGGTGGCTTTGTTTGTTTGTTTGTTTGTTTTTTTTTGTCTTTTTTGGAACTGGGGATCGAACCCAGAGCCTTGCGAATGTAAGGCAGACGCCTTGTCACTGAGCTACATCCCAGCCCTAAACTAGGTGGCTTTGGACCAGCAAGAATTAAAAATATCGTCTGCTAAATCTTTATTTTAGGAGAACCTGTGGTCTAGAATTAATTTTTTAGTTTTTTAGGTGGATACAATATCTTTATTTTTATTTTTATTTTTTTAATTTTTATGTGGTGCTAAGGATCGAACTCAGTGTCTCTGCATGCTAGGTGAGCACTCTTCCACTGAGCCACAGTCCCAGCCCTCTAGAATTTATCTTTGACTCATGTTTGGATATTCCTTTTGATTCTTGGGACTTTTCTATCTTTCCTGGAATGTACAAATGATGGGATGAGGAATGATCTTCCCTACTTGTCACTGGGCCTTGGTACATGGTAAGGGGGCTGACTCTGGGGAGCTGTGCAGCAGTCCATATTTAATGTGGAATTTTGGTTGTATCTCTAATTTTATATCAAATAAAATTGCTTGTGTTTTATGTCTTGCTTATGTATTTTATAAATATTTTTCTCTTGGGTGGACATATTTATTCTTCTTAATTATTAGAACATGTTTAATTGATCATCTTTTCTTTCCTCCAATTTATTTCATTCTTATTTTTACCCAAACACTAGAAAAATCTATACTTTGTATCATGTTACAAAGCAAGAGTTCATAATCTTGAGTCGTTAAATTCAAGAGCCTCTATCTGAAAGAGAGGTCTTGAAATAAATTTCCCAACCCTTGATTAAGCAAAGAATTTGATTAACTGGGCTTGAGTTTCCTGGCTAGTAATGGTTT